AAGCTAAAATACCAAGGGGATTCTTAAAAGCCTGCAACGTTTATTTAGCAAAAATGCACTTTCCTGGAAATTTCAGCATTTTTTCCTTATTACTAAAGTATACCCTATCCAAAATCGTTGACAAAATTATACTCTACACGCATAAAACGTTTTGTAAAAGTATTGGGTACAGAGTGATACAGTGTGGTAAAAACATGTATCTGTAAATGTCCTTTATACCTGTGCCAGTAGCGTGCCATTATTTGTCTTCAGAAATGCTTCTTTTGTATCCGACTTTTTTTATTAAGTCGCATTTTGCATCTTAATCCGACCAACCAATCACATGCTGTCGCTGTGTCCTTAATTGTAAATAAAAAACAAGGATCTTTAACCTTTTCCTAATAAGTTGATTACAATAAGCACTTTCTTGAAAAACATCTTGCGAAATAAATGTGCATCACGCATTCACACATGAATCAGGTTTACATCTCGAAATTGGTGAACGGATCAATATCTTGGCATTTTGTCAGGGCTTTACTATCTCGTTCACCTGTCATTTATTAAAGATTTTCTAAGCTTAAGCTGACATTTTTTATCCTAATGGGCTTAGCCGCAGTGTGACCTTGCATTTATGTGATTCATATGTAAATGCTTTAATCCTGTGAATTTTTAACACTTTGCTGATGCATCGAATGTTTTTAGTTTCACTACGTGCATTGCCGTGTTACATGTTCCACCCCCATCTCATTAGCGATTCCTCTACGCGGTTAAAAAAGATTGCTTTATTTCACCCAGGAGCCTCTACAGACAAGTACAGTGTATTATATGGCGCTAATTTAATGTAGGTATAATTCCACAGACTCAGCTTGCCCAGTACTGTATACATACCACAGTATGTACTGCACGACAGGCTTTTTATCTTCACTATGTTAATGAATGTTAATAATACAGTTTCGCTCTTAGACAAAGCTTTGTTCGGTAGTCTATACCCACTAATGTGGCTATACCGACCACATAAGTCATTTGTCCGCCAGTTACATAATATGATATATTTGGGATGGTTATATCGTTGAAAGTTCTCTGAAAATTCAGTTAACTTTTGTTATAGATGATGTTAATGATGTAATAGAAGAAGTTAATAGATGCAATGATTACATTACTGATAATCCTTTGGAATTTAAGATATCTACATGTAAGTTGTTGTGAAGACACGTGGAAATAAAGCTTGCAATTTAACTCGTGGAAATAAAGCTGGCCATTAAAAAATTTAAGTTGTCATCACGCCGTTGGAAAAATTAAACAATGCAAATTATAAAAGGTAATGTGAAATAACACTTTCATGAGAGAGAGAGAGAGAGAGAGAGAGAGAGAGAGAGAGAGAGAGAGAGAGAGCACACTATTATTCAATTCATTTTCATATGGGCCATACCCCGTTGGCCAAGAAAATGCTGCAAAACATTAATAATAATAATAATAATAATAATAATAATAATAATAATAATAATAATCGGTATACGTGAGCATTAGTTCCCTTAACCAGAAAACAGATTGCGATAGAGGAGAAAGAATAGCAGTCAGCGTTGTTATTCTGTTTCTGAAGTTGTGCGTTTTATTGATGGAGGCGAGATCCGAGAAAAATTTTAATATCATGAAATCGAACATAGCTACGGTCGTGGCTGGGAGTTTCAACTTATGATTTTCTCGTCACAAGATTTTTTCAAACAAGCAACTGCTGAAAATTATAAAAAAAAAGATTTTTTTCTGTTCTAGCGCCCATCTGCCGTCCTTTAACGGGTGCGTATAGGGAGGGGCAGGTCACGTGACATCCACTCGAGACCGATACAGCTATTTACAGTGGTGACAAATCGGGATGTCATTTGATCTGGAGTTAGTTTAGTCGAATGTGACCGTCGATAGTACCCCACTTTAAAGAAACACTGCTCCTAGACCAGTAAAAGAGCGCCTGAAAGTAATCAATACCGAACCGAAGTTTGGTAATATTGGACATAATTAAAGGTGAGTCGTTTTTAAGTTTTTTTTCAAAATTTTCCTCTAAGTGGAGGATTACATCATTCTTTTACTTAAAAAATCCAACTAGATTTCACTTTTTGGTAAAGAATATTAATTTTCTTTAATCATTTTATGATGAGCATACGTTTTTTTCAAAAATGAAAACTACGACCGGCTCATGTGCAATATAAAGTGTTTTAATTGTGTTTTGATAATCATAATTTCATATAGATGTACCATTGCCAAAAAAAAAAAAAAAAAAAAAAAAAAACTTGTTTACCCAAACTATCACCGTGGGCTCGAAAGTCTGACGAAAATTGCCAGATGCCTTCTACCTTATTATGTTTAACTTTTTGAAATGGCTTTTGAGAGCTGGAAGCGTATTATTGATTAGTTTTCATTGGATGGATAAAATCAATTTACTCTTCTTATTATTTTAGTTACTTCAAAATAATAATAATAATAATAATAATAATAATAATAATAATAATAATAATTATTATTATTATAGTAATAATAATAGTAATAATGAGAAGAAGAAGAAAAAGAAGAAAATAACAACACCACCACCGATAAAACAACTAGAAAAAAAGTCAAAGAATAGTAACAAAAACAAGATCCTAGCATATGATGAAGTTTACCTCTATCAAAAGTGTTTTGGTATGATACATACGTATATCTCAACAATGCCTCCCATTAAACCTATGCTGCCGCTGTTACTGAGTTGCACGAACCCTTTGCTCGTCTAAACTTGACATTCAGGAGGGGTAAGAGTAGGAGTGGTTGGCAAACAATTAGCTTGCCCTTGTTTGCCCAGTATCACGGTTTAATAGGAACGCTCCATATATTAATGATAATCCACTGGAAACATAACTAACTTAAATGCGTTATGCTGTGCTTCAGCTGAAACTTCCAAGGCCACACTTCCTGTTTAAGAGCGGCAGCACAATAACTACCCAGCGTGCCAAAATACATGTACTGACACCACAGGACTAGAACACATATATTGATAAGTACGGTAAGGTTAGATCCTCAGCAATCCCTGAAATGAAAACGAGTGTAGAATGCCGAGCTATTTAATCCCATTGAAAGTGGTCAGTTATTTGCTATCTCTCCACATGTAAAATACCGAGTTTGCACGGGAATCTCAATCTTGCCATTACCATAGATACCACCATATTCTTCATCAGCTAACACATTGTAAATTTTGCATTCAGCAAGAGTCCCTGTGGAGTTGGATTGATCATTGGGAACGACGTCTCTGTGTAATTTGAGGCAAATAATAAGAGGGTAGATAAATGTTAAACATATTAGAATTGATAATTCACAGAAAGAAGGATTCTTATACCAAAATTGTAAGTATTGTAAGTTAAACGTTGGCTTTACCAACCGGCAAATCACACCCCTATTGATTAAAACTCTTAATCGTTGTTGTAAATGCGCGATTTGCAGTTGTTGGCAGCATTCATTATCTGATATTAACAGTTACCCTTCGTAGTCACAGTCAGCTGTCACAGCCAACGTACTGTAAGTTCACTTAGTTCAAGAAGAATTGATTGGATTATACGTGTACTTTCGTATACATGTAAAAAACCCGCGGGCAACTCTTTAAACAGAGAAGGGCAAAGTTATAGATATCGATTTTCAATATTAAAAAGTGAGCACGATCTACCAGTATATACAGTTCTGATAGTAGCAACATAATAATACATGGAAGTTTTTCAATGCAGACAATGAGCCTATTATCATGCCTCACCCTTTGAATAGTTCTGCACAATTTAAATAGTTACTCACTCCAAAAACAAACATGAACTGGGAGAAACCGAAGAGGCAGGTTTAAAAACGTTAGGCAACATATTGTTTAGTTAATAAAATGCTTTAAGTAGGAAAATGTAAAATTTTGTGCATGCATAATACAGCATGTTACTTTGCTTCTGTATAATAAAATATGTTTACCTGCAGTGCTGTGCACTGTTAATTAACCCCACGCACTGAATTAACATTAAATACTTCACAAATGCTGGTAACTGGGCGTCACTTAAATAAATTGTACCATATGCGCGTCCCGACATTTGTCGTCATAAGTATAGTCTCCTGGACAAGTTAGCTTTTATTTTCTTCTATTTGATTCTATGTATGATTTTTAAATGTATTTCAGGGAATTGCCACCACTTTATTACTACTGCGTGTTGTTGCTTTCCTGGTATCTGATTAGAGGGTTTATAAATCGAGAAACAAGAGTAGGCTGATCTTTATTAAGGCATTTAGAACGGAGTAGGCTCCGACACATAATTATGAAATACTGTAAACAAAGACTAAGACAACATCACGTACAAACCATGATGACATTGTTCATGATACATATGGAATATTAACAGTGGTTGCACCTCCTCTCCTCCCCCTTTATTTTGTATTAAGTATTTGGTAGGCTCGTAACTGATCTTCAATGTTTCGGTCGTTTCTATGTGTCATAGGGATTTTGTCCCTCTAATTGAGTTACACGGTGTATATATGTGTTTCTACTTTGGATTTACGGGCTATACGACGTATATATGTGTTTCTACTTTGCATTGAAAAATCCAGAAGCGAAGTGCTGTAATCGGAGTAAAGTGGTCCGCGTTACGTCAGAGTCTTACCTCAAACGGGGGATCGTTACGTCATCACTATTTCACGGCGTCTCGTGTGGTTGGTGTTTTTGCTTCAGGTTTTACGTTTCTTTTGTCTGGGTTTGGCGACTTCATGGTACACAAAATTCGACACACATTAACCATGTAAAATATTTTCTTTTAATGTTACAGCATGAATCAACGTAATGCCACATGATTTTAATCCTTAATGTGGGTCCTGCATTTGCCATAATTCAACTCTTTGACTGAACCAATTAGAACAGAATTCAAAATATGTTTTATCATTTTCAGAAAGTTATGGCGTCTACCCGAAGGCGAAGGTGTTATTCCATGGGATCCTTTCTTGTACTAGCTATATATTTCACATCTAAAGCTACATTTGAGATGAGGAAAGATTTAGTGAGAGATGATGTTACATATACCAAAAGCCACCTGCAGAAACTTGAAATTAGTCAGCAAATAGATCTTGCAAATCGCCATATTGCTCTCACATCAAATGCTACCATGAAATACAAACACCCAAGGCCAAGCTGCTGGAAGTTACTGGAGGGAGATAAACGAGAAATTGAGAAAGTCAAGATGGCTGCCAAATCAGCAAAACGCAGCGCTATCGCAGATGTGGATTTTATTAATTTAACAAGAAATTGTCTTCAATTCCAAGAAAATCGTGGATATATCATGAGTTCTTCAGACTTGGAAAAAAGTTTTCCGATAGCCTTTAGTATTTTAGTATATAAAAATGCTCATCAGACCGAGCGTTTGCTGCGGGCTATTTACAGACCTCAAAATATTTATTGTATACACGTGGACGCGAAATCCACAATTATTCTTCAACGGGCTTTGCGCAGTATAGCCAGTTGCTTTGACAACGTATTTCTTGCATCAAAATTAGAAAATGTTATTTACGCAGGTTTTCCTCGGTTGCAGGCAGAATTAAACTGTATGAGGGATGCCATGCACAGACGAGAGAAGTGGAAATATTACATTAATTTGGCCAGTCAGTCTTTCCCGCTGAGAACTAATTTAGAAATGGTAGAGATATTGAAACTATACAATGGTGCTAACGACATTGAAGGTATAACGGGAAGTCGACTGGAACTAGTTAAGAACAGATTCCAGAGAAGTTGGGAGGTGGTGCGTGAAAACGGAAATACGAAGCTTAAAATTACTGACAAGTTAAAGGACCACCCTCCATTTAACATCAGTATTGTTCGAGGAAGCGCTTATGGTATATTTAGCAGGGCGTTTGTGGACTATATTTTGAATGATCCCGCTGCCAGGGCGCTGCTTGACTGGTCACGTGACACGTACAGCCCAGACGAGCACTACTGGGCCACCCTCCACCACCTCCAGGTTAACCCTCAACTAAACACTCCAGGCGGATACACAGGTTAGTTATCAGAGTTTTTTTTTTTTTTTTTTTTTTTTTTGGGGGGGGGGCAAATATATGTGTTTCGTTAGTCAGAGTGATGTACCGTGTATAAATAACTGTCTGTATGTGTAAAATAGAAAAGACTAACGCAGCTCCATCTCAACAGGCGCTTTTTTGAAAAAAAAATAAACAAATAGAATATAAAAAAAATATTGTGTTACATGTACATGTACCACCATGCCTACTTCAGCACGACCCCGGCCTTAGCCAACCCTAGGCTTTTTTTACAGACCGAAAAGAAATTATCAACACCACAGTCCACCTCCCTGTTTACCAATTTCTGTCTAATTTAATGTCGTTATGTTACTAGATATTCCCAGTCTATACTGTCACCTGACTCATTCCCTTTTAAAAGCTCAAAATGAAGCATACATCATTAAGGAATATTGTATAACATTTTATCAATAATATAAATTTCTTTCTTTTTTCAGGAAAGCCAGATAACAAACCCTGGCTTGCGGTATGGGCTGCCTGGGGTGGTGTAGACCCTTGCAA